AAGGAAGGCTCTCAGCTGAGCGCCGCTGTGACTCGCGTCTCTCTGTTAGTTAATACGTTGGAACGTTTTCCTCTTAGGTGGGCCTCCCATTCATGTTTGTGTCCTTCGTGGCTTCCTGATCATTTTCTTTGTCATTTCACACCATAACTGTTAGTAAACTCACGTCACTCCACCCCAGAAGAGTTAGGGTCTCCTGGTGGTGACCCCTGCTTCCGCTCAAGTTGACCCACCGTGCAGCCCAGTCATACTGGAGGCAAAGCTTCATCGACGCACCAAAGCTGGGACCCGCCACCCTGCCCAGCTGCTCCTCCAGCACAGAAGGATCGGCTTCAATGTCGCACCTGAGACGCCCGCTGAACGCAGCTCCCTGCAGGTGAGAGAGCAGAGACGTCACGGCTGAGCCCCCACGTCCGGGGGCTGGGGCCCTGTCACCATGGCTGTCTGTTGAGCAGCAGCAGATTCTAATAAGGCACCTATTTGAGGGGAGCATGCTCTGGCCCCCTGGTGAGGTGTTTATGATTTGTTCACGGGCATTAGCCAATTTTGCTCAAATGTGCACTGGACCGTGTTTCTGCACATTTCATGAATAATTAAAAAGTGGAAGTCTAAACAGTCCACGTGTGGGGCTTTGTGTGTGATTCTCACAGCAATGACAATCGCCCAGGTCTCAGAGCTTCATCAGGAACACAGGACATTCCGACAGCAGCTTGTTGCTGACGTCGGCTGCATGGGAAATCTAAATCCTCCTTTAAAAGGTGACTCATGGGGTCTGTATTTTTGAGGATGGTGTCTCTTAACAAAAAGAAAAAGAATGATGGCTTTAAAATAGTCAAATGGTGCTTTCCCACAGCCCATGTGAACTCAGAACGCAGTCAAATAGTGCAGCATTTTCAACATCCTTTGCCTGTTTTCACCCATAAAGGCTAATGTGTTTTCTACTTATGATAAATCCATTTTAAACAATAACCCCTTTGACCTCTCTGCCAGGAGGCAATTGGAAGCAAATGATGTTGTGTCCCTGACGTTCAGCATTTCCCAGGACTCTGGCCCTAAATTTTCATGGTGGAGTTGCTTGTGGTGGGTCTGCTCTGAGGGTCCCTTGGGGCAAAATCCTGTCCAGTACTATGGACACTTCCACCCTCTCCCCGCGCCTGCCTGGCCCCACCCGGCAGGACTTCCCGGTCCCTTGGCTGGGACCCTCTCTTCCGGGCCGAGTCCGTCTCTGCCCCGTCCCCGCGGTCCTTTCTCTACCCCTCATCCCCTGCAGATGGGATCAGGTCTGCCTCTCCCCCCTCACCCTCAAGGCCCTCCTTTCACCCAGAGAAGAACCACAGTCCTGACATGGCCCTCGCCCATGCCTCTCTCCCTGGCGGCCCCCGGCCCCTCCACTCACCCTCGCTGGCTGCACACACAGCCTGCCTGGGGCCCCGACCCTGCCCTCCCTCCTCTGTCCGGAACATTCCGGCTCTGATGGCCGTGCCTCTCTCCCTCCCTGTCTTCTGGCCTCTGTCCAAAGTCACTCTGCAGCGAGACTGTCTCAGCACCCCGCCCCCAAGCCAGGCCCCACCCTTGACCCACCTCAGACGGGGAGGGGGTGCTCCTTTAGCTATTGATGATCTGCTCCCACCGCCGTGTCGGTGCCACGCAAGCAGGGTTTCTTCTCTTCCGTTCACTGTGGGTCTGGGATGAGAAAGCTTTACCCACAACGAGTAGTCAGTGTTTGTTGGACAAAAAGGTCCTCAAAGTGTCCTAAGGCCTGACTTTCTCCGCAATCAGGAGCACCGTGACTCCCAGCATCCGGCACCTAAGAATTGCCTGCAGTATTTGGAAAGTTGAGAAATGTGACCGGCAAGCAAGCTAGAAAATGTGATGCAGTGTGAACCCAGGTTTGTCCCCAGGGAGTTTCAGTGGTGCCTCGGCCGGAAGGTCACGGCCACGTGACTTCTTTCCCCCTCGCCATTGACAGTTTTGCAGAAATCAACTCCATATTCACACATCGCTCAATCCACCCAGCCGGCCAGGTGCCCGGCGGTGTGCTCCTGTGTCTGGGCGCGGCTGCAGCCGTCTGACGGCAGACGAACACGTGGTCCTGCCGGACACGTCTCTGGAGGGGGCTTTCCTGAAGGGGCTGAGCTGTGTCTCGGTGACATTTCTGTGTACGTTATGCAGGGGAGTGGATGGGGCAGGGGAGAAAAAAGAAGAGGGAATCAAAGAGAGAAGGAGGGGAAAAGGGAAGAAAAGGATGTGGCTTGTTCCGGCTGGAGATTCAGTGTTTCTTTCTTCCCATCTTAATGGTAAACAGAGCAGGCCCTCCTGACTGTTGTTCCTTTGAAAATGAAATTATTAGACTGCGAATTGCAGAGGCTGGAGAGCAAATCAAACAAACAAACAGAAGGTGATTTCTATTTCCTCGCTCGACGGTCTGTCCTGACCAATGAAGCAATTCAAAGCCAGGGTCTGGGAACCAGTAGCCCGTATAACACACACGGAGGCCCATTCCGTGCGGATACAAAAGACTAAGAATAAGAAAGGGAAAGGGGAAGTCTATATAAAAGAGGATCGTCTCGGCCCTGGAAGCACAGGGGAATTGCCTTTGCTGCGCCGACGGGAGAAGAGTAGAGAAGCAGTGGCTTCGGGCCACGCGGCGCAGCCGGCGGTGTCAGCGCCAACGTCGTGTGACTCCAGCCTGACGACTGGGGGGCGCGAGCCCTCCGCCACGGCCCTTCCGCCTCCCGGGGGGACCTGCCCCCGCCACTGCCCTGCGCGCTGTCTCCCTCCCTGCCGCTACCTGGCCGGCCTCTAATGTGTTTTCTCTCAGTGCTCCCTCCGTAATGATCCCTGTCTCCCACAAAGGCCACAGTGTAAACGAGACGTGGCAGGCTGCAGTGAGGCGGTGTTTAAATTGAAATATTATAGGAAGGGCAGCACACGGCAGACCTTTGATGTAACAGCCCCCGTCTCAGAGGGGAGCTGGGAATACAGAAGCCATTGTCGGCCACACAAAGTTCGTCATCCGTGCCAAGAGGGAGAGAAGAGAGCAGACAGAGTCAATAAAAATAATTCCAATTGGGTAAGCCAAGTGGGGGCTGGGAGCTCGCAAAGCTGGAGGTGTGCCCTGACGGCCCCTGGCTCCGGAAAATAAAAGCAAGGGGGGCCACCGGGCTTATTTAAAGTGGCTTAGAACACGTTTCTGTATGACGGTCATTTTGTTGTTGTTAGAAAAACAAACACATAAATACAAACCATGAATGAAATGAACCTGTAAATTAAACCATAAAATTGCTTGGGAAAGACCCCTTAGGATAAATATGAAGATCGTGGGAGCAAGAGCAGGGCAGCCCAAGGGAGTGTCTGCACCCTTACTTGTGTTAAGGCTTCATGGAGATCCCTTTCCAGTCAGTAACTTCCTTGTGCATCGCTCTAAGAACAGACGAGCTCACAGGTGACACGATCCCATGCGGAGAAAACCCGAAAGACTCCACGAAGGCAAAGCAGAGCCCGTCAGAACCGATAAATGAATTCAGTGAAGTCGCAGAAGATAAAACCAAAACACAAAAAACCAGCTGCCTTCGTAGACACTGGCAATGATCAATCCAAAAAGAACATTTTTTTAATTCCATTTATAATAGCATGAAAAGGAACAACATCGCTTAGGAATAAACCTAACCACGGAGGGAAAATACTTGAACACTGAAAACTACAAAACATTGCTGAAAGAA